GCTACATTATTATTCCGCTTTATTACCGTGAATATTATTTTGGCAAGGGGTTTATTCCCAACATTTAGTACTCTAACACTAAAAACTATCCCAATGTCAAAAACAATATAGGAGATATCTAATTTATATGCTCCTGGAATATCTATGATTCCGGTTTTTAACTAAGCTCAACTGTTTATAAGCTCATGGAAGCTGGATTTGCCACAGAGTGATATTCATCCTACTTCAAGTTTCGAAGAAAATTAAAGTACATCAGAGGCAGATCAGATGTTACCTTCTTTCAAAACGCCTAATAATTGCTTCATCGAGGTCAAATGGCCTATTGGTAGCAGCAAGAACAAGAATTCTTTCACCTGCTTTTGTCAGTAACCCATCCCAGTGGGTCATGAACTCATTCTTTATTTTCCGCATAGCTTCATGCTCCCCGGCTCGAGATCTCTGTCCAAGCATGCTATCAACTTCGTCCACAAATATAATAGTGGGAGAGACCTTAGCTGCAAGAGTGAATAAGGCACGGACATTTTTCTCATCTTCTCCAAACCATTTTGAAGTAATTGTAGACATAGAGACATTGATGAAACTTGCTCCAGCTTCACTGGCAATGGCCTTAGCCAACATAGTCTTCCCTGTGCCGGGGGGCCCAAATAGAAGTATTCCTCTGCATGGCTTCAAAAGTCCACCTTTGAATAGGTCCGGCCTCCTCAGAGGCAACATCACCAATTCCTGAAGAGATTCTTTGAGTTCATCCAAGGCACCAATATCAGCAAATGTCACACCAATTTCACTTGCTGGTATAACTTCAGGCCTTATGCGCTTCTCAAATTCATTGTCCGGAGGAACTTCCTGGTATAATCAAAATCTTCAGGCTCCCATATTACAGAAGTTTAAAAAAAAAGTAGGAAAGTACGTAACATATTCTCCCACATTAGCAAATATCAGATGCTTCTTGTGATTAACACCTATAAATAGGTATACGTTGTATTCATCAAATCATAAATTATTAGTAAAATATATTGCTTCTCTTATTTTCTCGCAGAGCGAAACAATCAGAATGCCAACTCACAGGAGCTTTAGGCGTTGAGGTTGAAATGTTGCCATCCTTCACCGGTAGAGCAGGAGCTTCAGCTTCACCTTTGCTTTCTGGTAGGATACCTTCAGCTTTGGCTTCTGGTTTTGTAATACTAGTTTCTCGGCCCTGAGCATCCTACAACGAGTGAAAATAACTCAAACTCTTAACCCTACTATTTCAAAATTCCGTCAAACTTCTGAAACAGAAACCAAATTTATCCTACCTTCGATGTTTCAGCTTGTGCTTCGAGCTTTAAGGTATCCTTCCCAGAAGATTTTCCTTCCTGAAATACGCCCAATCCACGGGACAAGCTGTTGTTTTTCAAAGCAGGAATTCAGCAAAATTTTACACTTATCATCATAAAAAGGGAGAAAGAGGAGCGTAAGAAGGACCTTGAAGATGAAATAACAAGCTTCCCATTTCTGTATTCAGGGTCCTTTGTGTTCATTAGATGGTACGAGATTGCTGATACCACAATTTCTTCTATATAGTTACTTAGAACCATCGTGTCTGACATGCAAATTGAACCTAGATCTTCACATTCAATATCATTAGCAGAAAGCACTTCCATTATGTGATTTCTGTTGTCCTGAAACTGGATCATCTTCATATCCTCTTCTAGTTGAGACTTCCAACTAACAAGATGAGTTTCATCTTCTGGGGGTTTAATTTCAAGGTTATAGGGAAATATTGAGGAAAGCCTTTCATCTATTTCCCTATAATCATTTCCAGGGTCCACAATTCTTGAACCAAGGATCAGAACAGCTCCAGACAATTTCTTCAGCATTTTCTGGAACAACACATATATCTTTTCTGATCTACAAAGGACCTTCTCGACATCCCTTAGATAAAGAACTATGGGACTGGTTTTTGATACTTTGACAAGAACCTGTAAGTGGAGTTAGCAATGTTAGTCCGACAACTATATTAGAGAAAAATCAGGCAACAGCTATAATGGACAACCTATACTTGATTATCAAAAGCTGATTATAAACAAAAAAATTTGGAATGTATAGAACTCGAATGAATACCTTGTATAAGGTTTGTATAAGAAGCTTCTCATCAAAAGACCAGCTACTGTTGCGCGTAAGTGGAGCTGTGAAAGAATAAAGTAGTTAAAGCTTAAGTGGATCTATAAATTCTATCTCAAAAAGAATCCTACAAACTCTTCCATGAAAGACCACATTTCTGTCCATTCAGGTGGAGCATAAATCCAGTCTAGGCAGACTCTCAAAGGAAAATAATGAAGCACATTCAATCACTGATCGGCAAGTCGAGTCCCAGCTGACAAGCCGGCTAGCATCTCTGCCTACTTCAAGGTAAGAATAAGCACTTCATAGTTCTCTAAAGAATCTCATGTGTAAATTAAGAGAAAAATACAGAATTGTTTCATTGGCTTATACTTGCCCTTAAGAACTATAATTAGCCACACACAAGGTCTCAGCACCTAAGAAAATTAATCTACCCCTGGGATGTCGCCATTTAAACAAAATTTAGAAGAATTTAAGCCAGCTTGGAGAAGAGAGAGTTGGGGAATCAATCACAGTCAAACTGCTTTTTAAGCAAAGTACACCTCCTCACCCCAGAAAAAGGGAAAAAGAGAAGCAAAAAGGACACCGTAGTAGACATATGATGAAACATTAGCTATGTATAACACTATATCTTAATGCTTAGGCCACAATTCAAAGGATCAAGGCAATTAAACTAGTTCAGTAAGCTTCAAGAAGAGCAATCTCATGACTGATGCAAGTCAAAACCTGGATTTCCCGATGTGCCATATGAAGTTAAATTATCCAAATTGGCCGAGGCAGATGCATTCCTACGCAAATTTGTAGCTTTTAACAACCCATCTCTGCAAACATATCAGGAAAGAACAATCAGATCATGACTGAGAAAAAAAAAAGGGAAGAAAAAATAAGTGAGTCTAATATATTCAAAGGATAAAGAGATGTCATACTTTGATCCAATATCTACTCCACTGCTTTGTCTACGCAATGTGCCTGCAGCAATGGATTTACACGCATTTGTAACAAAAACATGAAATGAAGAATCAAGTATGTAGCATCAAGTTGCAAAATCTAAGCAGGTAAACCAAAATAATCCACACCAACAATAATAAGCGCAAACAAACTAAAAGCTTCAATGCCTACAAAGTTAATATTAGTCAACATTTGAATCTCAACCCACTTGCACATGCAGTACAAAGAATCATGCAATGCTTCAGACTCTATAAAATAAGAAGAAGTTTTACTCGGTGAGTAAAAATTCGTTATCAGAAACTTATAATCTGTACTTTATTTTGTATCAACATTACAGAGACTCAGCTTCTTAGAAGACTTGGTTGTTTTGTGGGAAGAAAAGAGAACTTATAATCTAGTTTATTTTGTATCTTCATTGCACAGAACTCCCAGCTTCCTAGGAACTTGGTATTTTTCTCTGCAGGGGTAATCTAGTTCATACCTTTGTTTTCCTCCTTAGGCTGAAGCATGGAAAAGGATCCAAACATTCCAGACATTCGTCCCAACGTTGTCTCCGATATAGACCTTTTAAAAGACTGCAACAATCGAAGTTATCAACATTCAATACAGATTTTACTTTATGCATCAACATCTTTCTATAAGAAAAATTAATTTCTGCAAACAGAAGGACTTGTGCTAGAGGAAAGTTAGCAATAGGAAGAAGATGTAGAGCTTTGACTTACATATTCTTTGCATGCTCCTCCGTATTTGCTTTGCATCTGTAAAAGACTCGTCATCAGAATACTTTGCATATGGGGGAAAAAATCCAGAAGAATTAACCCAAATATCCGCCCACCTAATCTCTTCAACTAAAAATAGCCGATGAATGTATAATATACGTATAATTTGTGTATAACACATGTGTAACTGTGTATAAATAATGTATAATCTATGTAGACCGGCTAGAAAAAGTAAACATTGAATCTGACCAGTTATTTGTGTAACAATCTCAAAAATCCAAGCTGTTTAATCACATACCTTCAGCGAAAAATCAGTTACATCCAGTAGCAACAACTTGGCATTAAAGTAATGAGCCAATGCCTTGGCAAGCATTTGTTGATAAAGTTCTGGAAAATGTGAATTATCACAACTAAATAGAAAATGAATGGGTAACAAACGAAAATTTGAAGCCAGAATCCAACATTTGGTATGCAAAAAACTAACCAGCAGGCCCTGACAGCAAAATTGTCCGACTAGCAGGGGAGAGGTTGCGAGTATGCTTAGCAAAGTCGGCATTTGTCAAATGAACAAAAGAAGCACTTGTCAGCAACACCCTTGTTTGCTCACTGTCATACGATGTATTTTTAAAAATCAGTAAGTATAAACTCTTTCATTTCTTAATTTAACATTAGCACTGATTTCATGGGGAAAAAATAAGTTCTTGAACCAAGCTGCTCTTGTACATAAAAGGGATGCATAACATATGAAACACTATACAATTCAGCTTATTTCTCAATGTCTAAAACACATGTCATTAATCTAACTAAACAATGGACCTCTTTCACAAGCAAATCTCGGTCCAAAATTCAAATCATTAAGGGTGTAATACCAAGAAACAGTCTTCAAATTTCCTTTCTTTGATCATGATGATAACATACTGAGAAGAAAGCCAGCATGCAGTTTAAACTCCCAAGGCGAACATTCTCTATGAATTCTGATAGCCTGAAGGTACTAACAAGTAGGGCTACTACTTCAGTGTCTGCCATGCAAGATTACCGCCAAGTGGTTCAAAAAAAGGAAAAAGTTAAAAAGGTTGTAGCTGATGGGAATAGAACTAATGACCATACAAAGGTTTTGAACTCCCTTGACTACTAAGCTATGCTTTTGGGCCATGTCAAGGGGAATCAAAACATAATATATAGAGGTAAAAAACAAATTTTACCTTACATATACAATATAATTTTTCGGCGAAGGGGGTTCGGGTGAACACTCTTCCGCCACCCTAAATCCGCACCTGACTGTATTAGTCTCAAAGGCCACTAAAAGTGCCACATAGTACTACTTTGCTAACCTTCGAACAAGTCCACACCTTTGCACTCACTCAAAACACAAGAATAAATGTCTTCAATAATACATTTCCAGAAGAAAATGGATTCATGTTATATAAACTAATAGTATAAAATTTTTACACTATCAGTGAGTTTTAACTTGTGATAGCAAGTCAGTTACCATCTTTCTTAGATTACCAATTAATGCTTATTAAAAAAGTTGTCTATAAACTGACAGTGCAATTTTTTTTTTTTCACACTATCAGTCAGTTGTAACATGTGGTAGCAAGTCCGTTACCATCTTTACTAGATTACCTATTACTAATGTTTATCATTATTTATAATTATCTAACAAATGACCAAATTGTATAAATATTTATTACACGTCCGAACTTAAACTCGAAAAAAATTCCTACTTACTATTTTTCAGATATAACATTAAAGAGTAACAGATATAAATGAAGCAAAGAAGGCATAGAAAGAAAAGGTTGCATGCATTGTTTGTTTTCCCTTGTTGTGATTACCTTAAGTAGTATGGAAACTCATCGAAGGTGACTTTACTATCTTTGCCATTAGCAATGAGGTTGAGCATCTCTTGCTCCATTATCAGAGGTGTAATAACATTGGCGGCGGATCCACCAGTCCATCTGCTAACCGTCTGCCCTGAAGCCAATCCAATCCCAACTCCAACTCCTATCCCCACACCCAACGCCGACAACAACATATTCTTCTGTTCCATCGCGCTTTATAGTCAAAATAAACTTTTCTCCAGACTCAAATTACCAAACAAATGAAGAGTAAATCACGATTTTTCAATGGATAAAAAGCAGAGGATATTTATTAAACTCAGATTTGGAGCCGAAAGCACTTATAATCGCTGAAATCGACACAAATTTTACCGTAGCTTTGGTAAATTTGCAAAACAGAGTACGTTGAGCACCGCCAACGAAACAACTCGTTTCTCAAAATATGAAGCAAATCATCACGACTTTTCAATGGATTAAAAGCAGAGGACTTATATCAAACTCAGATTTGGAACCGAAAGTGCTTAAAATCGTTGAAATCGACACAAACTTTACCGTAAGGTTTGATAAAACAAACAGAAATTCAAATATTCAACACTTTTCTCAGTATGAATATAGATCAGTTTTCTTCTCAAAGATCACTCATAACAGAACGCGTTACGATCAACTTTTCTCGCACTCTGTTTTTTGCTACGTCCGCGCAAATTCCTCACACTGAATATAACGTGTTTGCCTGATTAAAAAAAATCTCCTATATTTCTCCTATACACTGCATATAACGTGTTAACTGTATAATATGGTGAACAATACGGACGGATCTCGAAACAGTGAAGATTTTGTAGATTACCGGTGGCGGAGTAGCGGTGGTTCACGGCGGAGAATAAACGAGGAAAGAAATGAGAAAGGAGATAAAGGTGGTTAGAGAGACTGAAGTCTGTATTTTCCGTTCCCGCTTTTTCAGGCTTCGGGTCCTGACGTGTGAGTATTTGTAGATAAATATAAGGCAGGAATTATCTACGATTCAGACCGTTGCCATAACAGCGCATTTTGCTATTTTTTTTTTTAATATTGTCTTAATAATTTTCTCCACAAAACAAACTTCTATTAATTCATTAAGGATATAATATAACCAAAAGAATGTACTACATTATTTATAATATAATTTACAAAAATAATTTGATCTAAATCAAAAGACGTGTTAATTATCTTCATGTTTTATATCCACTTCTCAAACTGTTTTTAGGTTTTTGTTAACTTGTCCGTCTTTCGCAGAAAAAAGAATATATATTTTTATTACAGACATTGTAAATCGTATTTTCTACAGTTATTCTATTAGAAATGTTTAAGCAATTATACTTTTCTCTACGAATTAAATCGAGAATCCACGAGCATAGAAAAAACAACAGTTATAAACTAACTATTGCCTTCTTCGTGTCAACATGTAGCCCTGCATCAACAAATAAGCAGAATTCTAAAAATTATATCAAGATACCAAAGTATTAAATAACTGTGTAATTGATATATGACCTTCTGTGACCCGATGGGTGCATTGGGTCTCAGGTGATTATGGTAGGGATGCGATACAGAGAATCTTTTATTAGTTTTATTCTGGACTTTGTGATAAAATGGTCAGAACGCTGTACTTGGTACTATGCAACAAAATTAAATTCAACCGTGGCTGTGCCTGATGTTGCCGAAATTGTTAGCCAGTCAAATTTCAGTTACGAAAAGATTAGCAGGAATAATTTTACAAAAAGAGCCTTGGATTTATATGAAATGGCGTGATTGCCCCTTATCTTTGTATATATCGGAGCAAGTGGATTGACAAATATCTTACGGGAAAAAAAAAAGAAGATAAGAGACAACTCTATTTTTGGCAAGTATACGTTGAATTTGGGACAACTTTGTGGAATCAGGTGGTTTTACTTTGTCTATATGTTGGTACTTCTCCATCTCAATTTACATACTAACAATATTTGTAACACAGATAAAGGGAGTTGAGCTTTGGCGTAACTCGTAAAGTTGTTGTTATGTGATCAGAAGGTCAAGAATTCAAGTCGTAAGAACAGCCTCTTATAAAAATATAGGTTAATGTTGCGTACGATAGACCTTTATGGTCCGGCCCTTTCCCGGATCCCACACATAACAGGAACTTAGTGCGTCGGACTGTTCTTTTTTATTTGTAATATAGAACAAGTAATATATTTGTATGACTATAAAATATCTAACTAAAAATAACATGAAATATTTAAAATCAAATTATTTTAAATAAAAATAATATATTCTTTTTTAAAACTAAACTAAAAAAATATGTCATGTAATTTGGAACGGCGTCTTATTTTTTTAATTTTCCAAAATGAAAAAGAAGGTTGGGGATAAAGTTTTTATTTTTATTTTAAGAAAAGGATCTTTCATCTTTCGAGAAAGATTGATTCTCTGATGACTGTTCCATAAACTTACATGCAAAACATGGAAAAATAATTTAAAGGAAAAGAAACAGAAGAAAGAAATTAATATATTTTGGCTGATACTCCACCGTTTCAACTTATCTGTCATATTTCTTATTTACACGCCCGTTAAGAAAATACTAAACATAAATTTTTTTTTGACTATTTTATCCTCATTTATATTTAAAGATATAATCTCTTTTCATTTAATGCTTACTCATAATTAAGATATTTGAACTTTTCAAAAATAATTAATTTATTTTTAAATTTATAAAATAATAAATAATTTGAGATAATTATTTTTAGAAATCACAACAGATAATTTGAGACGATGGAGTAGTAAACCATCAATTAGTACTTAATTTAGTTGGGGGAACACAGAGAAATGGGAAGCATTGGGACTTGCAGAGAAGGTAGGATTCAAGCTACTTGCATGCATGTAGCCAGTGGCGAAGCCACATACGTCGAAAAATTACACTGTTTACATAAGTAAAATATTACGTTTTCGAAGTATATAACATATATTTAACATTTTTTATCGAAATTTTTTTCACTTCTTTTAAATTTGAATACCCTTGAAGAAATTTCTAGCATGAGTATATCATACGATTTTTGTGCAAGTTGCTGACAACAAACTTGTTCAAACCACAAAGCAAACAACATATATTACCTGAATAGAATATAATCGGTTATATAGTACTCCCGGTGGCGAAGTCACATGGAACAAATGGGTGTCAAGCGAGACCCCTTTGCAAAATCTATCTATCTATATATANATATATATATATATATATATATATATATAAGAGGGAATGAAAGAGATGACTTGGCACTTCTCCTAGACTAGGATTGCCATTTGTCTTTTTTCTCATTTTTTTGATATTTTTCCTACTTTTCCACTTATTTTGCCTTATTCTTTTGTTAAGTAATACTCCTATCCTTTTGCACCGTTTCTAAATAAGTAACTGAACATATTCTTTCGGTTACAACTTCTCCAAGCTGTTTTGTTTTCTGACGGAAAATATTTGTCGAAGAGCATTTACAGTAATGTTTTAGTTCCTTTTTTTCTTTCCAGGCCTTCTAATATTCCATGTTAATTAAAGAGCAGTGGTAACTATATAATTCCCTCACATAAGATCACTCATCCAGGTTAATTGTTCAAATGACTAGGTAACGTCAATCATCTAAAATTCTTCAATTTTATAACTTTTCACTTTGGTTGTTTATAATATATAATTTCCTCCCAATATCTTTATTTTCTATGTTTTACATGTGATGGTGAACAATGGAGTAGTGACATGGATTCATGAGAAATAAGCAGAGGGATACAATACACCAAAATATTTAACAACTTTATAGAAGATATTGTCACTTCTTCGCCTTTGTTGTCTGAAACCTTTCGGTACTTTATGCCTCTGGTATTTCTGTTAGGAAATTAAGGCTTTTAAATTTGTTTTATACTATAATGATGAAAGATGTCTGCCTTTGAGGATGTACAAATCTACGACAACATCTGAGTATGTCTTCCTTTCATTGAAATACGATGATAATCTCCAATTTTATTCAACTTTAGTTGAATAAATATTGATTTATTTGATGCAATTGAAACAAACAGGTTCTGGGACGTTAATGCGGTTGGTATATCAAAAAATAAGAGAAAAGTTTGAGGTATGTACTCTTAAACCTCATTTTTCCTCCCGAAGAAGTTTAAATGAAGTATGCTTAGCAATATCAAGTGGAATATATTTAGTTGGAAAAAAGTTTAGTAGTATTTATTTTACATCGAATAGTGACTAAATAATTTTTTTGGGTTACAACTTTTCCATGCGGAGAAATAAAAGACACTAATCACTTAATTACAAATCATTCAAAAAGACTGATTTACTAACCTTCAGCCTTTTCATCAACTCTGACAATCTGAAAATTCTCTTGATTTTCTATGTTGTAGGCATCAACAATATTGACTTTGTCTATTATAATTCAATTATAATTATAATTTCCTGTTTTCTGATTTGCATGTTATCCTTGCCTTGATGTAATATGGATAAAGATACATGTGATCATCAAATCACTTTGAAAGGCTTTGTTCTCTCGAGGTATTTTTTTTTTTTTGGGTTGGCTCGATCGTTTCATGTTGTTTTCCAATTTCGGTGCTAATATTTTTGCAATATAATAAAAAGAAGGAACTTTATTTTTTAGATTTGACATTTATTTAGTGTCGAGATTAAAACTACGATTAGTTTTTGTAAAGGACTCTTAACTGATTCAACCTTATCCATTAACATAACCCTTATTCGTATCTTTTTGTTAGCTTTTTCTTTAGGAGTTTGCTAGGTTTTATGTATCTGTATCTTTCAGAAGATTCATTGTTGTAATTTTGCTCTATATAAAGAGCTACTACTTCATTAATAAAATCAACTCCCTTTCATTCAGTCTACAACCTTCCTCTTTAGTTTTAACAAATTGTATGCAAGGAGTAACCTTTTTTTAATAAGCAAATCTAAAGCTCTATGTGGGGTTATCCCCAAGCTTGAACAATATTAGATGCTATAATTTATCAAAATCTAAGTAAAAATAACTTTTTTACTTTATTTTGGGATAACAAGGAATAGTTTTCTTGGTGTGACATTTAGTGCAGTAGAATAGTTTTTTATTTGGATGGTAAAAAAAAAAAAAACTAAAATAGAACAACATACTAAGATCAACTTCCCTACAGATATATTCAAATTAGTGTGGGAAGAAAACAAATCTCAAAAAGTCATACCTTCTCCCTATAATATAAGTATAATAAGAGAAGCATTTGCTTACAATAGAACAACAATATAAATGGACGATCTTGAGATTGAAGCTTAATTATTATAGTTACATTTATTTGTTTATCATAAGTAACTTTTGGTTAGAGATTTATGACTAATTAAGTAATCCATGTTATTCTAATTCTTCAAAATGTCAAGAATATTGGGCATATACACTTTTATGACATGAAGCTCCAGAATGTATTTTGTGAAACTGATATAAGTTCCATGTTACTTTAGGCATTTTGTTGTTGGACTGTGGCGACTCTCTCCGTTTATTTGTTCTTTTATTTATAACAAAATTTAGGTGAAGTTTCCTTGAGTTTTTGCTTACTTTATTGAAGTTTTGCAAATATACATAGTTGAAGTTATAAAGTTGTTAGTGTTGATTATTATTTTTTTGACAGAGAATTTAAAAGTGTTTATAGTTATTGCAAAATTACTTTTTTACAAAAGTATCATTCATTAATTAAATGATATTTAATTTACTAGTTACACTATATTGCTAGATAATTTTTATTTTATTTTATGTGTATTTACTATACGCTGACTCCCCTTAACTTTTTGATGTATCTAATTATTTATATTGACACCCCTTGATGAAAATTCTGGCTCCGCCCCTGAGTACTCCCTTCGTCTCATAATATGTGTCGTGGTTACTAAAAATGTTTGTCTCAAATTATTTGTCATTTTAGAAGTTCACGACAAAATTAATTATAT